TCCAGTGATGCGTGCATTTTTGGTGGCCAAGAATGGAGATGGAGAGTGATAATTCAAAAGATTTGTGCTGTGTTCATTCTGAGTGTAAAATGGACACATTTTGTATAATCCTTGTTGTTCTATATGTGCCAGATTTTTTCAAAAAAGTCTCAAACTCAATTAAAAATTTGATTTGACAATCTTAAAAGATATGGACTACATTGTAAGATGAAGACTGAGATTGACTAAGATAAAGTGACGAACTCGAAATTATGGGTAATGTGAATATGTTAAGACCTGATGAGGAGTTGTATAATCCAAATTTCGCAATATCTGTAGCATCGGTGACGGAGAAGGTGTAGCAATTAGTGGTACCATTTTGAGGGATTGTTGCTTGTCTCTATTATATGTCAGAAGATCACTTTACTCGACTCCTGATGATTGTGCTTTTTTATCTTCATTAGATTGCATGTTCATTTCGTGGTTCAACAGTGGCATTTCATAGTATCCATGTATATTCAATAAACTTATATTTTTTGTATAAAAAGACTGTAAATATATTATTTATCTTGTATTTTAAAATACAAATACTACGTTTATAATTAAATTTGGAAAGAAATATTACATAACGGTAACCTCCAACAATGTTTTATTAGGCTTATAATCTGAATTTACTTATATCTGCTTAAGATTTTGATTTTGGTTCCCTGTGGTAGAATTTTATTTGGTGCTAAATTGTTGGCACTTGGGTTGTGAAAAAACTATCGGCAGTTTGAGAAGTCAGACTAGTGGCAAATGAAAAGCTAAATTGTCCACTACATCATCAAGTGGATATAAATTTAAAGAACCTGGAATTACTGAGGAAGATCATGATGAAACATTTACTGCTATGCATGCATTATGTGTTGATGGTCATGTCTATTGGGTAAATTCACCATTTTTACACCTGACAACATTTTCCACCGTCATATTTGGTCCGTTGATTAGCACAAATCAACATGTTATTACTGAAAACAAGAGCCATTAAGATGGCATCCTTGCCTAGTTTTACTCTTCTTGGGTTTTCTCATTCTGTAAATATTGTCATTCTAGCTGTAGGATAGTCGCTTCCTATTTCATGATATTCAAAACTATACGAACAAACCCGGACTGCTGATGAGCTGAGAATAGTCTAAGGCAAGCTTTGCTTCCAACGATTGAGTCGTTGATTATGAAAACATTTATTCCTCAATTATATAAATGAATTCTGAGCTGATTTTATGTTCATGTCAATAGTTATTCTGCATAGATTTAGAAATGTTTCCATGTCTCTCTCTTTTCTGAAGTGGTTGGTTGGGATGTTACTGTGGCTACATAGCGTGGCCTTCCTCCTGCGATGCTTGAAATCTTTGAGAAGATGTGAGTAGTTTGGTTTGGTGCCAGCAAATGCTAGTTATGAATTTTGTAAAAGGAAAATATTGAAAATAAATCTTCTTTTTTTTTTTCTAGATGGCACGAATTATGCATATACTTGTATGTAGAATTTGGGTTTTGTTTTATTTAAGCTGCTCTGCTAATTTGTATTATTAAATCATTATACTCTGAGCCATGTTTTAATTATATTGTTTATATTATCACAGGCACCGCAGATCATGGAAGCGGAGTTGCGGAACCGGATAATGTAAGAGGATTGTCTGATGCCAATAATGCTCATCCGCCTAGTCAGAGAAGACCACATCCTTAGTGACGAAATTTTTCATAATTTAGGTTGAACCAAATTTGGACATTATCATGTGGATTGTACATTTGATGAAATATTGTACATTTGGTTGAGAATGAATGTCATATTAGATTTTTAAATGACAACTTTGATTTAAATGCATAAGGTTAATTATTTCTTGCACAGTATTTGAACAATTGAGTCATGACAGGCTGATACACCCGTAAACCACCTCAAAGTGCGCCTAACTGCCATAATTTGATTTGACATTAGACCGCCGTTATTTCCCAAGATCATAGCAACAAGAAAATAAATACGGCGGTTTGAACCACCGTATTTTACGACAGTTCTATTCTGCGGTGGTTCAACCGCCTTATTTCACTCGCCGCCAAGTACGGCGGTTCGACCGCCATACTTGGACCGCCGAAATGTACGGCGATTCAACCACTGTATCTGGATCGCTGAAATATACAGCGGTTCAACCGCTGTATTTGGACCGACGAAAATGTACGGCAGTTCAACCGCCGTAAATGGACCGCCGAAATGTATGGCAGTTCAACCACCATATTTGGACCAACGAAATATGCGGCGGTTCAACCGTCGTATTTGAACCGATGAAAATATACAGCGGTTCAACCATCGTAAATAGACTGCCGAAACGTACGGCGGTTCAACCACCGTAACATTAACTGCCATTTTTTAATATATTTAATACGGCGGTTTGTGTGGCGGTTGGTTTTTAACCGCCGTATTTTACCTAACGACGCCTCCGATTTCAGCAGTTTTTTAAAATGCTGTATGGTTGAGAACCAGCGGTTACAAACTGCCATTTTTCCCAAATTGAACCGCCGTTTTTTTTTCCTTTTTTTTGTAGTGAGGGGTGAGATGAAGTTTATTAAATTGGAGAGCTAAAAAAAAAAAAAGGGATAATATTGCCTTCTTTTTCTTCCTTCTATCTTCCTTCTTCCACCAGAACCTGTCTTTGGTCATCCTACAAGCCAATCGCCATTATTCCTTTCCCGACGGCCATCCTGTCCAAATTTGCAACCCCTTTATCCATGCATGCCATTGATCAACTGGGATGTTCCACAAATTTACAAATCCCCTTCATCCCTGATTCTTTGTTGTCAAAGAATCTCTGCATCAACAAAGCTCATGTATGTTTGGAACTAGCCACGGGCACTAATTGACGATTTTGTTTGCTTCCTTCTCTCGATTTCGTTTGCAAACAAGCTTCCTTCGTCCGATTTCTTTTGTGAATGAGCTTCCTTCTTCCAATTTCACCCTTGCTCAAAAAAGTTTTCATAAATTTCATAGATGGGTTTTCCACAGGCCAGTCCCACAGTGCCATCTCGATCTCAATCGATGGGCACACTACATCTTGATCACTGACCTCGAGAAGGTCCCTATCTCGATCGCTTACTTTGAGAAGCTAGTCACCAACCAATGGACCCATTTGAGTTGGGCCCAGTAGTTGGCAATAAACAGTGCTCCCAATTGATAGTAACCCGTTGAAGGATATATTGGTCATTTAATTTTTATTCCTTTCTATTACAAAGTCAAAATAGAAAACTATTGAACTTGAGATAAAAAGGGATAAGGATAAAGGTACTATTATCATATCTCAAAATCGAACGTGGCCTTAGATTCGACATTTTTAAATTTTAAATAAACATAAATTAGGCAAATCATTAATTGCTATGTCTTGTTAAAAAAGGAAAAAGAAAAACCCTTAACGATTACTACAAAGCCTACATATAAGAAATAATGGAATTTATTTTAACAAAAAGTGCGCCAATAAAACGTTATGGGACTAGTTGTTTACAATGTTATAAACCTTTTAGAAAATATTGGAGATTCTGTTCCAAGTTTCCACCATCTTTGGCAGCTTCCCTGGCCAGATCCTTCCACTTCTTGGCATTCTTCCTCAAGTCTTCCCTCTTTTCTCCACCTCCCATAACCACTTCTATGCACCTTTTGATTTCATCTCCTTCTAGTATTCCTTCTTTATTCACTTTCACCCTTATCCCGGTTTTGAACACGTCTTCTATAAGCTTTGCATTTGTAAGTTGATCTTGCATTTGTGGAAAACCAACCATTGGAATACCAGACACCAAACTCTCCAGCGAAGAGTTCCACCCACAGTGACTCAAAAAGCATCCCAAAGAAGGATGTGAAAGAATCTCCGGTTGGTAGCACCATGGCACTATCATCCCTGTTGTTCTAGTTCTTCTTTACAGCTTAGTTTATCTTCTTCTCTCTCCCCTTTCTCTGTGGTTCTTATGACCCACAAGAATGGTCTACTACTTCCCAGTAACCCCCTTCCAATCTCTTCTAGTTGTTCGTTTGACAACTCTGCCAAGCTTCCGAACGATACATATATTACTGATGACTCGGGCTTCGAATCTAACCAGCATCTGATATTGTCCCTTGGCCTCTCCGATGTCTCGTTTTTCACTTCTAAGAATGTCAAAGGGACTAAGGGTCCTATTGCAATCATATCTAGCCTTTGAAAGGCTCGTAAGCCTCCTTTTCTAATTCATTGAAAGTATTAACAAGAATTCTTGGCTTATCTTCTGCATCGAGCGTATCCAACTGTTCCTTCAATATTGGTGAGATAGAAGTGTAAGAATCTGTGTTTGAAGGGGATAGAAAGCTAGAAAAGTCATGACTACCTAGTGTTGGTAGACCGGGTAATTCAATCTGGGATGAATTGTCACCGTCAACAATCATTTTGGTAATCTTATCCCCATAACCATTGAAGTGATGGTAGTAGATGACGAAAACAGAGGCTGCCTGCGTCCAAAAAAGTGCAGATGGGACATGGAACTCACGTGCCACCTTAACCGCCCATGATTGGAGCATCGTGTACACAAAGCAGGTAATGGGACAGCCTTCGTTAGCACTTCCGGTGATGAGATCTGCAATGGCTTTGGAAGCATGAGTCCTGAACGCAGACCACATGCGTAGACGGTCCCCATCTGTTAAACCATCATCATAGCCATCGGAGAAGGAAGCAAAGTTAATTAGGGTTTGGGAATGTGAAGTAGGAAAGTTTCTGCTGGCAAGGCGGTGACCGTAGACGTTGGTGAGAATGGTGACCCTTGTGCCCATTCGGCTGAGGCGGTTGGCGCATTGCAAACAAGGGTTGATGGCTCCATGGACCGGATATGCGAAAAGGAGGATGTGGTGCTCCATGCCTGAAAATCTTGAAGTGCAGAGAGAAATTTCACTATGCTATGCAAAGAAAAACACAAATAACAGGCGGATCATAAGCCATATATTCAAGGTGACAACATAAGTCGACAAACATGTCTAAACATCATGGAAATAAGTTAATCGCTTTAGGACCCGATCATTAGATCATTGATGACGTTTGTGGCGACAAATCCTAGGGAGAAGTCTGAAATTACAAGGAATGTAGAATAATCGCTTGATTATACAAATATTTTCCATTTGACGTTGGAGCTGAATCAATCCAGCTGTTGGTTTGTTTGGAAGTGAAAGGACCAAATAAATCAATAGGCATGAAAGCTCTAAGTCCACGTAATGCAATAAATAAAAAATAAAATCAACCCTATTGCAATCCATGCCGGGGAAATGAGTCCATTTTTGGGATTTTTATAAAATGGGAAAGAGGTTTAAACACATATTTGCGTGTGTTTACCCTCTTCGATGGTTTGGAGATTCCATATATGGCCTCTTTTTTCAGTAAAAATCAGATTTTTATGATATATATATATATATATATAAATAAAGCTTGCACTAGATATATATATTATTATATATAATATGACAAAATAGTTGAAATAGTCTCTCTCTCTCTCTCTCTCTCTCTCTCTCTCTCTCACACACACACACACACACACACACATCTTTATTTCTATATCATACAAGACAGATCTATTTCACCATTTTGATTTTAAAATATTAGAAGGATGATCTTGCTTTCTTAATGTGTTGGTTTGTCTAGTTTGGATAAGTAGTTTAGCCGGCCTGGCATATTTTATATGCATATCAATGTCGTCATTAATAGGTACATGTATATCTAAGCATATACATTTATGCTGTATTAACAAATCAACTAATAGGTGAAACATTTCTTAAACAAAATTCACCTCGTTAAAAATTTTTAAATTATAATTATGTACTTCTCTATCATTAATTGGATACTGTTGCATTTTCTTTTACCTCAAAGCTATATATTATTGAAATTACTGCAAGGATTGACTGTAACCGTAAAGGTCAATTTGCCTCTTATACCGATGAAGGGCTCATTATAGCCCCCCATTTCATGGTCCTATTCCAATTTAACTGATTCATCCCTCATTCTAATCCCAAATCCTTTGGTTAGTCCTTCAATATACATGTATTCTCACGCATGCTAATGACAATGAATACACACAAAAACATATCTCTATCCTCCTATTAACTGATACACATTCTATATTGTTACCAAGGTAAATAATAAATACAATGTGTTGTCATTATGATACGTTGGCAGATTATAAGAGAAATTTCATTTAAGGTGAATGAGACACTCTGTGACTTCTCAGTCTGAGTATTGGAAAACTCGAATCAATGTTGCCCTTAAGGTCTGACCCATGTTTTGCCCAGTTTGATTTTTAGGCATTCAAATGGATTCAAACTAACAGCAAGTCGTCTAAATTCGAACCTACGACATCAGGTTCGAATAGCCAAAACTATTTTTATGTCAACCTTGTTGTGTAACCTAAAAGCATAAATGGCTCAAACACCTACATTAAGGAACAAGTTCATTACCAACTTTAAACTGCTTAACTAATTCTGAAAAGATAGTGAATATTGAAATCCTTTGAAACATTGAAGTTGCATAGCAAAACAACAATATCCTTATATATTTTGGATTATAAAGAGATAGGTATTAATTAGCAATTGATTTCGCATGTGCGAAATGGCAATTATGGCAACACGTGAAAGATAAACTCTTTGGATTCTTGGAAATGCAACTTTCTATGATCTTATCATCAGATGAGAATAGAAGTTGACACGACAACCCATGTCCTTTTGTGAAAGATCAATCGAAGGAGTAATAACCACCCATATCGTCCATAATTGGACGTGGAAAGAACTAACTATCATGGAGAAGCCTATACAAGGCAGGGCTTCACAACATAGCATCATCATCAGACATCTTACACAAAAATAATAAACAATTAGTTGTAGTCTCTATGGCTTTAGCTGTAAAAGTATAACATATTTATATATGGAGGCTAGTGAGAACCAATAAAGAATCTATTATCCATCTAGATAAATAGGCATATCTCCTATGCTCTCTTCGATGATTAGTTTTGAAATCCTTGGATAAAGCAAATAATAACTAATAAGGAAACTCAGTTTCTTACATTGTTCCTAAAATCAATTTTAAGTAGTAAATTCATAGTTTTTAAGGCCATACAAATACACCATTGATTGTTAATACTCGTGAATTAATGAGTTAATTAGATTAATTAATCAGGATAATTACTTATTGACTAATTAAATCACACGTTTTGTGAGCCCATTACTAGTTAAACGGTGAACTAAGAGGTACACACAAAACTAAATAAGCCAATATCAATCTATGAGAGATTGTTTGATAAGTAAATTAGTTAAATGAACTAGTTAATTAAGACTTAATCAATTTAATTAGCTAAATTAATTAGATAATTAACTAAATAGTTTATTTAATGAGGTTAGCCAATGTTGGAGAGATGCTGAATTGGTTGGACCAATTGATTGAGTTCTAGAATTAAATGAAAAGGTTTAATTAATTAAGCTCAAAGGAGAAATCATTAATTAGTTTATACTAATTAAATTGGATTTAATGGATTAAATAATTAAAATGCAATAAAAAATCTGAATAATCAAAATCCTAACAGAATGTATAAAATCAAATAATAAAAAAATTAAAAGATAAATTAGTCTCCTTATTTGCTGCATTTTTCCTAATATTTAGAAATTTTTTAACAACTTCAAGTATTTAGCATTTGAGGCATAGAACTTGTAGAACAAGATCACCATCAAGAATGACTACCACTTATCGAAGGACTTTATTTTTTTAACTAGTTACAAAACTACAAATTCTTATTAATGCCTTCCGGACGTACTAACCCCTCGTGAATAGGATATTCAAACCGTAGTTGGACACCTCTGTGGTAGTCTTACTTCACAATATTTTGATCTAGTCCAAGGACAAGATAGAGCACGAGCAGCACTTAAAGACCTATATTAGGGATTCTCTGAGAAAGGAAATTGTATGCAAAGTTTAGGAATTGTAAGTTTTGGATGGATCAAGTAGTATTTTTGGACCACGTAGTGTCGATGAGGGGGATCTAGGTGGATCCTGGAAAAGTGGCAATAATAATGAAATGGGATAGCTGACCATAGTGGAGGAGATATGAAGCTTTTTAGATCTAGCCACATATTATAAGGCTTTCATTGAAGGATGTTTTAAGATCACTAGACTTTTGACCAACCTAACATAGAAAAATGTAAAATTTCATTAGCTGGAAAAATGCGACAGCTTCTAGAAGCTCAAATGACACCTCACCTCAATCCAAGATTAGATTCTATCTAATGGGTCAAAAGGTTTCACAGTTTATACAGATGTTTCAAAGAGTGAGTTAGGTTGGGCTTAATGCAAAATGATATGATCATTACTGACCATCTATTTTCCTGAAATTTTTAAATATCTAAAATTATATTTACTTCTTAAAGTATTCTAAAAAAATAAATAAATAAATTTAGGACTTCTTAAAAATCCAATTTTAAAGTTTTAAAGCACAAAAAGTTTAAGTTTTTGAGCCTAAAAGTCGAAGACTTGGGGTGTAGAACACTCAATTTTTTAAAAAATAAAACTCAATTCTGTGTGTGTGTGTGTGTGTGTGTGTGTGTGTGTGTGTGTTTTAGTGGTATTGTTCCATTCTTTTTAAGGATTTGGAAGTTCTACATAATTGTGTTTCCTGTGTGGTCATACACATTAGTTTAGTTAATAACAACCAAGTAAATTACAGGAATATGGGAATCTCAGTGAGGCCAAGAAAATACAATAACAGCTATATATATGTATGTTGTAAAATATAACTAATTCTTCACCTATTTTTTCATATGATAATAATATTTAATGAAAGTTTTGATATTTGAAGACTCATTTGCACTTTGCACCTCCAAAATAGGAGATTTTTGCACTTTGTACCCTCTAATTTTAAATTTGGCACTTTGCACCCCAACAATAATAATTTTTAACACTTTACACCCCAAAATTTAGGTTTTTGGCACTTTACACCCTAAAATTTTAAATTTAAGCCCAAAACCTCCTAAAATTATAAAAAGTGCACCATGTCTTTGATTACTTATTAAAACTGATGATAAATTTAAAATTTCATGTAAATAAAGGGTAAAAAGATCATAAAGAACTTAAACCTTTTATTTATTTTTGTTATTTTTGCTCTATTTAATAAATTTTAACTCAATTTATACACATATTAACAGTATGTGAAAGATTAAAAAATTTAGTACTGTTCAAAATTTTAAAATTTTAAAATTTAAAATAAAGTATTGATAAAAAAAATATTTGAAATGGCTACAAATTAATAATTAATAATTATTTCTATATAAAATACAAGACAAATTAAGAATTACAATAACTACTTCAAATAATTATTTTATTTCTTAATTTATCTAAATATTTTATACAAAAATAATTATTTGAAGTAGTTATTGTAATTCTTAATTTGTCTAGTATTTTATATAGAAATAATTATTAGTTATTAATTTGTAGCCACTTCAAATATTTTTTATATTATTTTATCAAAATTTTATTTTTAGTTTTAAAATTTTAACATTTTAAACAGTACCAAATTTTTTAACTTTTTACATGCTGTTAATATATGTATAAATTGAGTGGGAGTTTATTAAATAGAGTGAAAATAATAAAAAAAAATGAAAAGTTTGTGTCATTTATGAGTTTTTTACTCTTCATTTATATGAAATTCTAAATTTATCTTTAATTTTAATGAGTAATTAAAGATATGGTGCATTTTTTGTAATTTTAAAAAATTTTGGGAGGCAAAGTGCCAAATTTAAAATTTTGGGGTATAAAATGTTAAAAACCATTATTTTTGGGGTGTAAAGTGTCAAATTTAGAATTGTGGGATGCAAAGTGCCAAAAGCCTATATTTTAGGGGTACAAAATGCAAATGAGTCATATTTAAAAATCATGTAACAAAGATAATGCAGTAGACTATTTTCCGTCGAATAAAGAAGTAAAGATCCAGTCCAATTTGTTTGGTAACGGGCTGGCTTGACATGGGCTCAAGTAGTTTTAGGCTACAAAGATTTAGTGGATACAGGCCAATCAGCAGTCCTATGTCTGACCACTAATTTATTTTACATAACATTAACATACATGCAATCTTTTTTAACATTATAAAAGTAAAATTACTTAAAAAGTATTACAAGAAATTTTAGGAAAATATTGGATTAAACAACAAGAACAAGAACAATCTATCAAATAAGTATCAATGCTCAGTAAAGGAGTGAAGGAGAAGTTCTGACATATATTTAACCTATTAATTCACACGTTTTTAACTCCATCCACAAAAGTCCTGAGATTTATGTTAGAAGATCCACCATCCTCTACAGCTTCCCTTGCCAAATTCTTCCATTTCTTGGCCTTGATCCTAATTTTTTCACCAATCTCGCCATCCCCATGACCAATTCTATGCATCTCTTGATTTCTTGTCCTTCTACTAGGCCTTCTTCATTCGGCATTGCCCTCAATCCAGCCTTAAATGCATCTTCTACGAGCTTCGCATTTGTGGGTTGGTCTGTGAATTGTGGCATGCCCACCATAGGAACCCCTGAAACCAGACTCTCCAAAGTAGAATTCCAACCACAATGAGTCACGAAGCAACCTAAAGAAGGGTGTGAAAGAACATCCACTTGGGAACACCATGGCACTATCAGACCTCGCTTTTCTAATTCTTCTCTGTTACTTAATTTGTCTTCTTGGCTTTCGCCAAACTCTAGGGCTCTTATCACCCACAAGAATGGCCGATCACTCTCCATCAGCCCACGAGCAATCTCCTCCATTTGTTGCTTTGACAATGTAATAAAGCTTCCAAATGATACGTAAGCAACGGACAACTGAGGCTTGGAATCTAACCACTCCATATAATCCAGTGACTTCTGTCTAAGGTTGCCTTCAAAACTAGTATTACGGGGACCGCTTCCATCCAAGAATGTTGATGGAACCAATGGTCCTATAGAAAGCAAGTTGTACTTTCCAATGGTCCTTAATGCCTCTGTTTCTAATGCATCGAAGGTGTTTACAAGCACAATTGGGTTGGCTTCTTCGTTGAGTGCATCTAACTGCTCCTTCATTGATGTTAATCCGAAACTAAATGTATTTGAGGGGAGCAAAAATGTAGGAAGGTCGTGACTAGTGAGCACTGGGAGCCCCGGCAACTGAATAGAGCACGAGGGGTCACTGCTAATCTTTCTAATGGAGTCACCATATTCATTAAAATAATGGAAGTAGATGTTAAAAATACAGGCTGGTTGAACCCAAAAAACTGCGAATGGTATGTTGAAGGCACGCGCCACGTCTGCTGCCCAACTTAGAGTCATGGGATAGACAAGACCTGTTACTGGGTAGCCTTCCTCTATGCTGGTGGTGAACAGCTGAGACAGGGCTTTGGAGCCGCGATTCTTGAGCTCAGACCTGAAACGGTCCTGATCATCGCTCAATTTGATTCCATCATCATAGCCATCGGAGAAGGCTAGTATGGTTAAGCCTTGTGGTAAAGAAGGGGATTTGGGTATGTGACGTTGCGCAGAGACGCTGGAAACAAAGGTCACCTTCACTCCCAACTTTACAAGGTTCTTGGCAAGTTGGAGCGATGGGTTCGTAGCGCCCCGGGCTGGAAATGTTAGGAGGGCAACGTGACGATGCACCATGGTTTCTGCTTCAGAGAAGAACAAAATATCAATGCCTTATTGAGCTGAATAGCAGGCGATGGAGATCTAATATCAAAACATCCAATTTATAGGGAAAATTGTGAACAACAATTAAACGCAGAAGTTCAATCTTGTTCGTCTGGGAAGACTTATTTTGACTTCGAACAACTATGAGGTTATATCACACGGCCGGCGGATTTTCACGGCAATCTGGGAAGATATTTGTTATTAATTTGAACAACTTGTAATATGTAATATTATATTTCATTTCCATCTTTAAATTAAAAGAAACTTTGATTAGTTGAAATGGTCAACAAATGTCAACATCTAATGGCATCGTACTCGAATGAAACCACGATAGTTAAATCGAAGGGCCGTTGAAGATTCAAAAGATGAATAATGCCTTGAAGACATAATGGCATTGCTATTCATTAAAACTCGCCGTCACTCACAATTGTCGCAATCATTTATTATAGAAATCAATTTTATCATATTAATTCTAGTGACTTATAAATCAAAAATAATTATAATTAAACATGCTTCATAATTAATTATAATTTAAACATGTTTCTAGATTTTGATATTTAAACATGATCATAATTATAATAAATTAATAAAATTATAACCAATTTGTATAACGACTACAAAAATATTGACTTACGATTTGGGAGATACAATGACGTGTGTGCACACGTTTCCATAGATACCTGTAATGATATGTGTGGCATTTCACAATCAATTCAACATCATTACAATACTGACACGCTTCAATAAGAGTTATGGAGAAATATGATGCAAAGGTGCGTGAAGATGCATCCTGTGTGTCATTGTATAAGGTGTATGGCAACATTTCCTGTGACAGTGTCGCCATAGATTAATGTCGTGATAGACTTTGTTTATATTATTTGGGGTGCATATAGTGATGCTATGTGTGGATCTGCCTATGAAGCATCGCCATTTGACGACACCCTTTCGTGACGCGCAAATTGTGTGTTTGTGTGTGTGTATATATGTATATGTATGTATTTATGTACGTATAGCCATGTTTGGTAATGTTTTTGATTTGCAACATAGTTCTCCTGGTCATTGCCCCTCTCTCTCTCTCTCTCTCTCTCTGGCTTCTTACAACGTTGTACATGCATTATTATAGGTCATTTATTTTATACTAAGATAAATCTATAATAATTAAATGTTTCAGGTTCACGTAATCTCTATTTTAGATTTCTTTAAAATAAATTGAGAAAGACACGATAAAATGTAAAGAAAGCATTTTAAGTATACAAAAAATTGGCAGCTTTATAAGTCTTCAACTTTCAATTTCGCCTTTGAACTCCTCCACCTATATATTATTTAAATAAACAAAGAGGATGAGTGTCAGTCATTACACATTATCATTTTCTAACCATGTTTGTTGGTTAGTGGTGGACGCAAGAGAAATAAGAGCTACATATCACATACTAATACACATACAACGTCATGTGTGACGTAAACAAAATTGATTTATGTCATATAATATTGATGATGATGGTTATATTATGATGTAAAATTACGAGATTTTTACTTGTACTTCTCTTTTTCGTTTTTTGTTTAAATATTATTGAACTTGATAAAATTCTCACCTGAATATAATATTCTTTTTTATGTCTTGATTTGTATGAAAACTAAAGAGGACCTACTTTAAACTGCACGATAATAGCAAGGAGTACCGATGTAATTTTGGAAAAATTGCATAGAAATCAACAGGACAAAACTAATAATAATAATATATTAGAGATAAAGATTGTGAAAAGATGAGAAAGAACTAGTGATAAGGTTGGATTTAGGATCAGATTAAATAGGATTAATTTTATCCCTATATTAATATAAATAAGTACATTAGATTAACATTAGACATGAAGAATATTTTGATTATTTTATTTGAAAGATTGAAAGATTAACCTTCTAAACTTAAATAAAATGCACGAGCACTTGCTGACTTCCTTGTAATTTGCACACTTTTTGAAACCACAAAATCTCTTGCTAAGTACCAATGTATTAGATGTTAAGGGTTAATAATCTTAATATCCATTAAATTGATATTAGATAATAATATTAATACTGATTTAATAATCCTAATATCCATTAAATCAATATTAGATAAAGATATTAATACTCATTTAACTAAGCTTATTCATAGGTCTAATCTAGACCACAAATCGGCCCAGACCAAACTAGTAAAAAAACCAGATCCAACCAGACCAGACTGGCAATTTCCAGTTCGACCTAATTCTGAATCATAAGGCTAACCAGTCCAGTTCAAGCTCATGTTTTTTTGAACTGGAACCGGAACTGTATCAAAACTAGATGACCAGAATCGAATAGAACTATGTTAATTGAACTAGACTTGAATCAAGGATGAACCATGAACTAAAATTGTGAATGAATCGTGAACCATGAACTAGAATCATGAGTAAATTGTGAACAAGATTGTGAGTGAACCGTGAATTTGTTTTAATTTATTTAGGACAATTTCTTTCAAATTAAAAAGTAAATTAAAAATTTCAGACTTTCTGGAAATAAATAACTTAATCAACTATAGCTTCTGATTATAGGTAGTAAAAATCACGAAAAATTAGTAAAAATCACTTCTTTTATTTTTTCTTTTTTCCTTCAAAACATTAGTTTGTAAAAATTAAAAATTAGAGGTTATAATTAGAACTTCTTAATTATCTCGGCGTCACCTATCTCAATAGTTTTGATTGAATAAGTTGTTACCGACGGAGATCAAATATTAAATGAAACTCATTCAAGTAGGCTTCCAACAAATGTTGAAACTCAATCATGTCTTGATGATTGGATGAGGGCTATGTATAGCCAACAAGAATTTATCGTAGAGTCAAATCAAAAGGATGATGAAGGAACAACAACCAGAATCGAAGATAGTGAAGATTAAAATAAAAAATAAGAGGGTGCACTAATTAAGATAAAAGAACCATGTGAATTTTGATTTCTCTAAACCCTATGAGGATATGTAGATAGCTTAATTTATGTACAATTAACTTCAAATCCTTTATTATTATTATTATTATTATTATTATTTTGTATTTAGTATTAGAAAGATGTTTATAAGATTAAATATTTATAATATTTAAAAGTTATTTAAGAACCCAAAAATATTTATAAGTTGATATATAAATTTTTTTGACAAAATCGTATCGAAACTGAATCGAGCTGTGGACAAACTGACAACAAATGGTGAATGAATTGGGAACAAACTAGAACTATAGATGAACTGGTAACGAATTGCTAACAACCCGGGAATGAACTGCAAACAAACCGAAACTGGAACTATAAACAGGCTCAGATCAGAACCATAAACTAGCTAGACCAGAACTATGAATTGACCTGGACCGGAATAGGAACTAGAACTAGACCAAAACCATAATGAACCAGAACTAGAACCGTCAATTCTGGTCCAGATTAATTCACGAACCATTAATGAGTCTAGATTTAACAAATTTTAGAACTCCTGATTCTCATTACATCAAAACCCTCAAACTGATGTCAACTAATATCTAGACCTTAAATTTCACGATCAATTTTTGAGTCATTTAAAATATTCTAATCTATTTTTAAGGTAGCATATCTTAAAACCCTTAGAATTGATGTCAACTAACATCTAAATTTATTTAACTTTTTTGATTTATTTTTGAGTCATTTTACAATATTCTAATCTATTTTTAAGGTAGCATATCCTTGAAGTAAGATCTAGTCCCTTTATAAGTTAAAAAAAAAAGGAAAAAAAATGGTCTGCCTACTATATAAGGTGTACATTTGTCAATTTCTACTTGACACAGAAATTTGTTTAAGTGTGCCCCTAGACCACAGGTGAAGGAAGTTGAAATTGGCTATATGGCTCTCTATGTGGCACTTCATCTCCATAAAGTGTCCCTTCAATAACCTGCACGAATAAATAAAGCTAGATTAAATTTTAGGGACAAAATTATAATTTTAAAAGGTTAGCTAACCCTTCCACTTCTCCCTTGGTTTCCCTCTCTCCCTCTTCTTCTCTGTCTCTTCTTTATATTCTATTTTTCCCCAAGACCGATTTTTGATGTGTCCCTTCTGTTAAAATTATATTATAGTTGGCTTTGGAAAATGAGGATCTAGAAAAATTGCCCAAAAAAAAAGGCAAGACTCTTTTTATTATCTCTATTATTTTCTGCACGGTTACTACTATTATTCTAACAATTGCCTGAGCCAACTTGCCATGTGTGGTATCCTTGCAACCAAATAGCTTTGATTCGAACATTTTATTTACTATTGAATCTTCTATTGGTCTCTATATCGAAACAAATATGATCGGTATAGTTTTAAAAATCATAAACAGTTCTAATAGCTATAATAAGAATAAATGTTAAAAGTCCTTTATGTCCTCCTTCATATTTATCGATCATAAGCTAATTTACTGCTAGAATGGTGAGCCATCGAATTTTTCACTTAAAATTTTTGATCCATAATTTTCTTAATATGACACAAGCAATTGTCAAACAAATCCACTTGAGCAGAACGATTCAAGCTCACACAAAATAATTAGAAGGAAAAACAGAATTGAAATTTATCAATTAAAAGTTAAGAAAACTTATATAATTAATTTCAGAAAATTCCATCTAAATCCTAAAAAGAATTCAATTACAAACTCAATTTCCTTTGTGCCAATTTATCCCGAGCAACTGAAACGTCTTCAACTTCTTACCCTAGGACACCTCAATCCTAGATCACTAAAATGTGTCCAACTCTTTATTTTAAGACGGTTGGAATCAATTATTGAATGTTGAATTCTTGTTAAAAAGTTATAGTTGAGTTTTAAACTTTTGGATGTATTTTTTTTCTCCCCTTTCAGTGGAAAATAATCTCTTTTTTTATGAAAAAGAGTGCTAAAGGACGTAGAATGCCTAAAGAATAAAAATTCTTTAAATGATAAGGTTACTCTCTTGAGATAATTATGGAAATTTTGATTACATATCCTAAATATCTAAATAATTAAAAATATAATCCATAATCAAATCCAAATATTCAAAAAAAAATCATCTGAGATCATACCTCCTCTTCTTTATGGGAACCAGCTCCCGTTGGTTCTTAGTTTTGCTAGCGTGCCCTTGTTAATATTATTGTTGACCATTGGATCTACGGTAGAATGGAAGTGCTCCGATTGCTTTATTGCTGGATTTATTTCATACCACCCACAGCTAGGATCAATGCTCTGAGACTAAAATATGATCCATAATTTTTTTTTTTTTAATATGGTACGAGCATTGGCTAAACAGATTTACCCAAGAAAAATTGAATTAAAATTTGTTAATAAAAAGCCAAGAATACTCACACAATTAATTTCAAAAGACTCTATCTAAATCTTAACAAAAACCTAATTACAAATCCGATTTCTCTTGCATCAATTTATTCCAAACCGCTAGAACGTCTTCAACTCTTCATCCTAGGACACCTCAATCTCGGATCATTAAAATGTCTCTAACTTTTTATCCTAAGATAGCCATAATCAATTGTT